GACAATTTGGACATTTTGGTTAATTATTTTTCATGTTATTGAACATTTCTTAATAGTCTGGAACCAAAACAGTATCACATTTAACCTTTTCTATTGTATTTCACAGACTACAGTGAGTGAGAGGATTCAGTCACTTGAGGACAATTAAGTGAGACAGACTGATGTGATCATAACTGTGACCTTTTGTTGTCAAGGCGACTACTTCTAACACAATTACCACGTCAAAAATGTCTAAACTGAGCTTTAAAGGGCAACTGTCTTGGCACATCAAGGACCATGACAAAAATACAAGCTCTTCAGGGGGCAAAGAGATCTCTGTCTAACTGAGAGTGTGTTAAGAGCCTATGGACATGCAACACAACTTTCCACTTTTGAGTCACTTGTGGGTAGAACATTAGACTAACATCTTACATTTCTGTATTCAACAACTAATAGTTGAATGGTGAAATATCAGTCAGTTTTAAATCATTTCCAAAATCTACTAAGGTTGAAAATCATAATATAAGATGAAACTGTTAAGTAGAACACTTTCACTTTATTAATCATCCAGAATAATATGAGAATAACTATAAACCTGTATTTTAGCTTTGATTGCTATATAAAACCGTGTTTCTCCCACTGTGTTTATAGCACACAGGAAATAATCCTGTCAGTGGCGTGTTCTACAGAAGCTATCTCATGTCTCTGTTGGTTGTCAGTTCAGTTGAATAACTCCGTTGCCCTCTGCTGGAAAATATAATACTTACAACTCAAGTCAAGTTGGTATTCTTACAATTGCAAATTGACAGTCGTGTGCAATCATCCCAAAGGAAAACTTTGCACCCTACATTGAGGACATTATTCCTTGCATATAGTATAAATATGTTTGAGACTAATGTAGGTGAGCTGTGTGGGGCACACAGACATACAGGAGAAATGTTTACACGGATATATTCATTGTTTAATCTTCATTTGATTCTATACTTTTATTGCAGCTTTGATGAATCCATACATTTTAGATATTTTGGTCTTATATAATAATATTATGTCTTATATTTAATTTGAACTGTGACAAAATGAACTCAAAGCATAGTGAAAACCGGCTGCTGTGTCTGACCTGGAGGAAGGCATTTCAGCTGGTTATTGGACAGTCTCAGGTGCCGCAGAGACCTCAGTCGGCCAATCTCTGGACAGAGGAACTGGAGGGCGTTATTGCTCAGGTCCAAGGACTGCAGTCTGGCCAGGTTTCCAATAGCTGGAGATCAAACAACAGTTTCCCTCGTTATTGTCAAAAGACAAAGTTAACATAGCCGGTCTCAGATAAAGCTACTAATGTACCGTTTTATGTCATGACAATATTAATAAGTGTGTTATGTGTGATTTCCTGAGCATGTCATCTTTATTGTGGTTGTTGGTTTGCTTTTTTAGTTTCATTAAAGATGTTTCTTAAACTGTCCCACAATCTCAATCTCACCTGAACCAACTATTGCCATATTTAAAACTGCTGAATCACTCTGAATCTGTGTTTTAGTAATAAATCGAAAGCATTCACAAGTATAACAGTCATGCACGAGTGTTGTGACAAAAAACAAAAAAAACCCAAAACACTAGATACTGGCACATTATTATGAGATAACAGACGACTTACCTTCTGGAATAATGACGATGTTGTTTGAGTGCAAATACCTTAAAAGGGAAAAATAACAAATGTTACAATCAGAACTGATCAAACTATTTGATGTACATATATTTATTCACAGGCCACAGATAGCTTTTTCAAGTCAAGCCAATATTCAAGAGGATATTCATGATTA